TATATAAATAGTAATTGATTTTAATATCATACATATTCAATTATTGTGACAGTGTCACATTTTACCTGTTTATAGTTTTATAAGAATAAAAATTATATAGGGTGACGAAAAAGTTTACCGATCTATGAACTGTATACAAGTAGACACATTTTGACGTTCATAGTCCGCCTTTGATCTTTCGATCATGCTAAGTGAGTAAGTATTAAAGGAATTCCGCAATATTGACCATGTTAAGACAAGTTATTCATAGAAACATTTGTTAAATAATAAACTCACTGTATAGCTAAACGCAGTGCCTCCATAATGGAGTTAGCCCTGTCGTCGCTTTGAGAAATATATACATCCGTTACATTGCACACGTTTTAGCGGGGTGTCCGTGCACGCTTGGAATATACCTCTTTCGTCTCGCATAAATTTTCATTATCAAATATACTGAATAGCACTAATAGATTTATCAGATAATTCTCGTATAAATTGTATCTTTTAATTCCACCATGTTGAGAAATTTAAATGCCAAAATATACCGATATAAACAAAATACCCGTATTTTCAAGTGTTATCGAAGCGAAGAACTTTCTACGTGCAATTTTTTTTCGCGTTCACGATATTTTTAGATAAAATTACTTGATACATTTGTTTTTTTCTTTTTGACTTAATATCAATAGTTTTAAGTACAACACAAGTTTACACAAAACGTTATCGATAAACACGACACTTTTTTCACAATTTTTGTCGCGAAGGAGTCACCAGGTTTAAAGCATATGCCGATGGGAACTCTTTGTCTATCTTTCTTTCTAAATACCTATTGTTCTCGACACTGAAATTGTTGCTAGGATGAATCTTTATATTTCAAATAACTTGCTAAGTATAACTTATAGACAATGTTAAAGAACGAATGCAAAGGGTAATCTTATTGAACTTTAAACTTGTCTTTATTTTACTTTTCAAATTGTTTGTCTTTGCAAATCTTTAATGTCATCTTGATTGTTTGTTCTATTATGTGTCACTATCACTCGCGATATATCTTTCGAATTGTGTACGTGTCTACTCCCTTGAGTTGGTAGCAATAACACTGCCGAAATTCGTCGCTCTTCTGTCGCATTTTTCCAAACAAATACAGACACGGACAACCAGTAACCGCATCAGCTGCGGAGCGCAGCAACTCACGTTTTACAGCTGCGCACGTTCTCGCCTGCATCCACAGCCGGCACCACTACCAGGGACGAAATGATAGGTATACTATGCGGGTGCCCGCGGCTATGATCTATCAAGATACGTTTCTTCCTTTCTTCGTTTATTATATCTCTGTGAAAGTTTCTTCAACTAATATACTACTATCCGTATACAATATTTAAAAACCATGATTTCAAATAATTAATTTAACTTAATCAATCTGATAAAATTGATATCTACTTAATTCAATTATAAACAAGATAAGTGTATTTTTATGAATATTGTAAATAAATAATACTGGCAATGCATTAGTTTTTATGTATAAGTTTTTGATAAGTAACAATTTACAAAGGACAATAAAGCATAGCAGTTACGATGTAACAGCAAAATAAAGTTGTTTTGTTAGAAAATATTAAACTAAAGCGTTTGTTACGCGCAGAATAATACGTCCCTGAGTATTGGCGCACCATCAAGCGTTTACCACGAGAGCGAGAAGAAGTATATAGGAGAAAGCGATGATAAAGAAAGAGAGATACACGCGTCTGTTGAAGGGTAAGGAGACACACAGCACCAACGGCAGTATAAAGACGGAGAAATGCCTGGTATGCTTGTGCGAGGTACACGGCCACATAGCCGGCTGAATTGTCTACTGCGCAGTCGCCCGTTAAAAGGTGTAGCGGTTGATGTGTATGCTTTGCTTACTTACGTGCACTTGCTACAGCCGGCTCTCGGACAGCTGTGTGTTTTCTATAGTCACGAATTTCATGTTTTCATAAAGTCTCACTTATATGCAATATTACATTCACCATATAATATATTTAGAACCTGTTTTTTAAGTTTCCATAAATTCACTCATATCTGATAATTATTTCTCATTAGAAACATGTCTTATTGATAATCATGATTTCATATGTATCAGTGAGGAACAGAAAATAAAACAACAGAAAAGTAGAAAAATCTTGTTCAATTATTTATAAGTTTTCCCAAAAAATTGAATTTAACGTCTATTTATTTATCATTATAATTTTTATGAAAATTTGTAAAGGCAGAATAAAAAGAAATACGTATGCAAATTTATTTTTTAAAAAAACATTCCATTTTTTCGGTTTTATTACATTCTATAAAAATAAATTTTTTTTTTGTTAAATCCAATATTTTAAGAAACACGTTCGAAGATTAATTTAGCATTACATGGAGTTTTAAAATGAAACATAAATCCATAATTTTATCGTCTCTTTATCATCCCCTAAAATGCGAGTCACGTATTATCGTGCAATTGTATAAACTTTTATATTGTGTATGCATATGCATCTCTTAGAAAAGCTCGTCACATACTTACATGAATGGACAGCAGCTCATGAAGCTTCCTTTGATAAACTCAGATGATAACTTATTTTTATACAAGCAATGTATTGGCGCGATATATTATTTATGGCGTCCCAAGGATCTTACACAGACGTGATATGCACACTAACAAAGCACCATGATACAGCAATTCAAGTGCAGCAGGATCTTCGATATCGTACAACTGTTTACAACATTTCCCAACGAGTTATGTTCAAATACTGAGCGTCTGAGTTTTTATTAGAAGTGGAAGACGCCGAAGCATAGTAAAATATATACTTTTTATTTTAGACTTATACAACGTCAGAACGTAAAGACGTGCACATTGACATAAACAGATGCGTTTGCAGATATTATTTAATACTCGTTATCACACGTTGCAAATGTAAACAATGAAATTTATGAATATAAATGCATTTCTGATACATGTCATGAGCCAAAACCGAATTAGAGCTGTATCGCTTTCTGGGTGATATCGAATAGGCTATATGTTTATCAGTGCATTAACCCTCGTCAATTTTATGGTCAATGAATATTGCGATTTCGACAGTCCTGTCGCACAAATTTATCTTGTACACACGGTACTTTAGCACTCAATTATTAAGTTATCTCGTTAACAGTGCCCGGATAGAACAAATTCGTGGTAACTATACCATTTTTACGTAGTGATTTAACATCGACAGATTCATTATTTCTTGCACTACAAACACCGAAGGTTTTACCACTCTTAACACAATCCCCCGTGTTCAGTTTCCATCGCGCTCGTATTTCTCCTGTGCAAACTACTAGAATGACGTTGTTCATAAGACGAAAGACAAGGATGGTGATATCGATTTCAGACAATGTACGTTAAGCTCCAGCAGGTGGCATGGCCACCGGTCCTCGTCTTTCACGCCACTCTGTTTTTCTCGCAAAATGACACGGACGGGCACGGTACTGAGAAATTCGTGAGACACGAGAAACGGGGGATGGAAGTACACCCTCGAAACTGTCCTTGCCCGACTGCGCGTGCGCATTGCGATTTAGGTCACACGTATCATGATAGATGAACGCTAGTTATACATTTTGTAGGGTTTTCTTTCTTATCTTGTCAAATCGGGACTGTTTCCCATCGAACGTTATAAAATAATTACTATATCGATGTAATACTCATTTTAGGCCTTATGCATTTTGGATATTGGCAATCTATCATAGAATACACGTGCTGTGTAAACATTGGCGAGGTCGGGGTAGCAGTGCGCATCCTTGGCCTCGATGTTGGCAATCTTTGAATAAGTGCTACCAGTAGTGTAGCCACAAGGGTTTACGAAGGTATTGTTCATTCCATTAAATTTCAATCGAAGAGAAATTTTATTATCACGATTAATTACGCTTGATTGCAATTAAATGGTCATGACAAAAATATTATACGTTTAATACAAATTATCTGAAATGTATAACAATTTTTTAATTTTATAGATATTTAAAATTGGCATCCAAGGATGTGTTACTACGTGCAGCATCCTTCTTACTCCTGAAACGATTTTCGATGCACACAATTCGGGCATGCGCCATTGAATTCAGGTCATTCGACGCTTGACCGAAATTGAGATTGAAGATTTTTTATTCTAATATTAAGGATATCTTCTACTCCTTCGTTCTCTTCAATAACCAGTCACACAATCGACGTAGAAGTAAATCACTAACTTTTATGAAGTTCACAATTTCATTTTTAGGAGTCGATAACGTAAGTCCAAGATTTTTAGTTTAATTCCTTAAAATTTACTAAGTGTGCAATTTTTATAAGCAAAATTATGCATGTCCCATTCAGAAGTAAAATAATAAAATGTAAAACAAAAGTATGTATTTGAAATTAGAATTTAAAGTGAACAAATATTAATTACGTTATTTATTACTCGTGTACTTATTGTATATTAAATGTATATCAGTACTTAACTTAATTTTAACTGTGTTTATAACAGATTATATATTTTCCCAGATAAATACTACACGTTGCTTAAATGTTCTATCTAATTCAACGCATTACATACGTGTGACATTAATTCGTGCATACGAGACGTAAAATTAGTGTCACCTTAAAGTGTATTTGCATAAGCGTAGGATGTGCTGCAGCATATATAAGTTAACATAAATTGCAAGTATCGTGCAATTTGTAAATTGAAAAATAAAATGAAATAAACCAGAAAGAAATGAAGAAAGAAAAGACTACTCTGCAAACTAAGGCTTTGCGAACATAACAACGTAATTCTTCGGTTATTAAGTTGGAGCACGTTTGTTTAGTCTCTCACCGGGATTATGGCTTTTGGAATGCCACATCTTTCTTCGATATTTCTCTTTCCTTGCAAGTAACGTTAAAGAAAGGTTAAACAATAGGTATAATTAATAAAATAATTAATTTTATACTGCATTTTCTCAAACATTACAAGTGCAAATGTAATATATTCATTTAACTGTAATTGAATTATATTCAATCGTCTCTCTATCTAACTCTTATTTTCTGTGTGATCTTTGATCCAATCAATATAACTGTAGACACGGGTGAAGACATCCGGTCGACCTCTTGCACACGGTATTCCCCAGGATACGATTCCAATTTGTTCATTGTCGGTAACCAAAGGACCACCAGAATCACCCTGTTCCATTATAAATAATTTAATACATATTATTATTAAAACAATATTTCATTCTTAAATATTCTGTAATATTCTTATAAATTATGAAGTTGTAAATCAATGTCGCTATAAAAATTCAATTCTAATTGCTCTATGCAAAAATTTCGATTTTGTTGAGTAAAAGAGTCAAGGAGGAATTCCGTTCAATTTTATCAAGGAAGGAAGTTAAGGGCGCGTTCGGTATACATATTCCGTGTACTTAGAATCATTCTTTCCGAACTAGGTGAGTGGAACTCAATGGAGCTCACTGTTACGCTCTTGTCGACACGGTTTTCGCGACGGACGACAAATAAGAAAAGAAAGTACCGCTTTAGTTGAGGGATCCTTTGACGTGAAAGGGCCCTCTGCTCGAGTACTCAACTAGACGTGAATGCACTTACGTGACAAGCACCTTCACCCCTCTTGTTAAGTGTGCAGATATTGTCGTTGGTGACACGGAAGCTAGCGTTTAAACATTGTTTTTGATCGATCACGCTCAACTGAATATGATACAGCTCGTTCGGCGTTTGTCCGGGATACTTTGGTGATTTATGTGTAGTCGGTGTCACGTTGAAGCCCATTCAGGTATACGTACATGTGTAGAAAGAAATAAACGAATTTAATGGTATTAGCAAGACAAAAGTGTAAAAATTATAATTTGTAATAATTGATACTTACGCTAGTTGTTCCCCAACCGGACAGTACAGCAGGATAATCTATCTTGCTGAAATTTTCTGTAGGTAACGCGATGGGCTTCACTTTGTCTCCAAAAACGATATCCTTGTCCAACTTGATCAGTCCAATATCGTTTCTGATCAATGCAGAACTATACTTTGGATGGCTAATTATTTTTTCAGATTGATATTCGGTGCCATCTTTGTCTAAAGTGTTGGTACCCAGCACGACAGTTATTCCCGTATCATTGAAACTAAAAGAACCAAGTGTAACTACGCAAGTGCAAAATATGTATTTTCGTATGTAAAAATTGAATAAATCAACCTTGATAAGCAATGAGCAGCTGTCAATATCCATCTCTCGTTTAATACCGATCCACCACAGAAATGACGATTTTTATAACGCAGTGACGCTTGATAGGGATACTGTCCGTCCTCTGCTACGGAACCGCCGACGATTTTCACTTCGTTTATTTCGTTTACACTTGCAGCTGTAGTTAATAATTTAATATAGTAATTCGAGTAAATTTGTTCGTTATTTAAGCTTATTCAAAGTTCAACTTTAAATAAGTCAAATTGTATTTAATCTAGGAATTATTACCTGATGCTCCAAGTATCGCAATAACAGCGAAACTATAAAAGAATAAGAACATTTTGAGACAAGTGGTTTATTGTGCTACTGTGAAGTAAACTATTAACCTGCCATACCGAAGACATTTGAGGAAGTATTTATACCAAGTATGCTTTTAATGGCCGTGGGAATTAAAGATACACCTGGCCGGTATTTAAATTTAGGTCAGATATTCCCTACGAAAAAGTTTATTAGGATGTATCTCACGTACGCTATGATAAAAGCTAAGAAAACCCGTGACTGAACAGGCACCGCTACCGCTTAAGAGGAAAACGATTCTTGACTAACAATTCTGCTTTAAACGTATTCATTTATCACTCGATGGGGGTTTTCCGACCAAGGGCCAACGAAAGATAATCTCACGATATTTGTAATAAGTTTCACTTTCGGTTTTGCATTAAATCTCGTCTTTAAAAGAATTTGATTTATTTACTTTTACAGAATAAAATGTGGACACGTGAAAATTAGACATATCTTTCTGCTCGAAAGCTGAAGTAATTCGTGATATCACCACGTCTGACTAATCTTGAAAGAATTAAGGAGCATGATGGATGCAAATCACTTTTCAACCAAAGAACTTTGGTTTCGATGTACAATAGCGATTATTCGATTTACCTGATTCGCGTCTCTTTATCGATCAATGATTTAAAGAGGATTATTCGAGGGCCTTGTTAAACGAGCGCGCAGGACAATTTAAAAAGGCATAAAGCTACACAATTTATTCCATTATGACATGACTCACCCTGATTATGTTCCATTCAGAGACGGTGGCTGGGTGATTGGCCTCATTCAAATTGCATGGTAGTGGTAAGGGTCTAATTCTGTCGTCATATACAAACGTACTGTACATTCAAATTAAATTCATATTACTCTTAAATATTGCTATGGACATTGGGACACGGTTTTATAATAGGCATTGTGGCACACGCAAACCGAAATAATTGCATTTTCAATAACTCGATTGAAAATGTGCATACGATTTCATATGACTTATTTCGATGACTTCAGTTATTGGGTGTGGTTTGACAAAGTGTTCGATGAATCGTGGAATAGAGGATGCAACGAAATAATAGTAAAGAAAAGAATATGAGAAAACGTATAACTCGAACTTCCTTTATTTAAATGAATCAGAGGCAATATGAACCGTCGATGTAACGTTGCTTGTACAAAATTAAAATCAATTTCGTTCGGTATTCCTATCAACACATTGATCTGAGAAGTGCAAACTATTGCGTGTTATTCTAATTAATCGGAACTTTGACATTGACAAACGTGTATGAGTGTCGCAACCGTTCATATTTCCCATGGCATATACGTATAAAATATTTATGTATCTCACAACCAGAAGTTAATAATCAGAAGTGTACCGCTCTCCCGTACATACAAGTAAATAAATAAACATAGAAAAAAAGCTTGGCCATAAGTAACCTTTTCTATCGCATATATATATATATATTTTTTTTCTTCCGATTTTCGAGTATCAACTAACGCTATACATATGTGTGTGTTTGTGTCTGTGTGCGCGCGCGCGTGTGCGTGCGTGCGTGTGTTTGTGTATATACAACATGCGTGAATATACACATGCATATGTATACACATACACATATATATGTATGTATATGTATAAATTGTCCGTACCCTTATATAAGTATGATCGTTTACAAAAGCTACTGTTTCAGTATCACTTGCCGTTGGCCACGCTTTAATGCACGCATGTTTTTCGATAATCTGTGTAAAAGTAAACGTGTGTAATATAATATTTGAAACAGCGTGGATCGTTGGCTTATTTTTTTTTGTTTTTGTTTTATCCGTGTTCGCTTAAACATATATTATAATTATTCACCTTGTACCATACCGAACCGATAAAACTTTATGATTGTCTAATATTCTGAATACAACTATAGATTATAAACTATGCCTTATCATTCGAATTGATGCCCCTTACCGTTAGCGTGGTAAGGGTGATTGAGTATTTCTGAACGACATATCTTTTGTAACATCGGTTACACGTAGAATAACATCAATAGCACTGAAAATATAAACATTGTTTTCTTTTTCCAAAAAGTTAATCATATAATTATAATTTAATAACTAAACAGTACGTACAAAATCAAATGCCAGCACCCCGTTTAACGAGACGGATTTACTTTGAAAGTACGTGAATTACGCATACTTAAACGATTCTCCATTTAAATCTAAATGAAAATGCTTCTCTGCCGTTGAAATACTCATCATGGAGAAGAAACGAAAAGTGAATGAAATAGAACACATTTTAATATGAAAGTGTTTAACTTACTTAGTCTTAATTTTAATTCGCTTAACAACGATAAACGTTATTTGAGAAATGCACAACAAAGTATTGAAGATATTATGAAACATGTGCAGTGAACATGTTATGAAAGGGAAAAACAAAACTTATTTTACAATGTTTTACCTTTGATTCGTAATAAAGAATTTTACTTAAATAGAAATACTTTCAAGTGTCAGTAGGTTTACATTGTCATCTTTTCTTTGATTGTTGCGAATATCTTTTAAATGCAAAGCAACTCAAAGCTCTGTCTATTCTATGTAATTTAAGCATCAGTTTTATGCATGGATTGGTCAAAGATAAATAAATAAAAATATGTTTTATACGATCATGTAAATCCACTCACAGGTCGTTTTTTTAATGATATTGACCATTGACATGAAGTGACCAAAATTATACTATAAAGTTACTTTGTATTGATATTCATTTAATGTAAATGTTCTAGAAAATATATGTATACAGAAGTTCAATACCCAAAATCGTAAACTGATTTAAAATATTTAGTAACTTAAATTCATAATATCACATGGTGCTGCCATCCAATATTGTAGGTGTGTAAGTGTGTACAGAATGATGGCTATATTCTATTCTAGGCCATAAAACTCCGTCACTTATTGGCTATAAAATATTTAAGTATATTATTCGGTTTTGGTTTACTAGTTGTGGGCCAGGAACGGGTCACTTCTCTTTGTATGTCGATAGGTAGAGATTTAAGGACCGCCGCGTCGATTTTTGGTGATAGTTGCATTGGTGACGAAGGACTAAGACGAAGATCAGCCATTTCGTTACTTGGAGATTCTCTGCGTCCGCTTAACCATACTTCTAATCTGGTCTTTTTTGGTAAAGGTTCTATTTCATTCAATACATCATCATCCGCGTTCTGATTGTTTGCACCCACTGATTTTGAAATTGGAGAGGAGGTGGTACTCATTGCGGAGCCGTCATTACTGTCTTGATTCACGCTCATTGGCGATCCAAGATTAACATCGGAAACACCCTCTTCTGAGCTTATATCTAAAACAGACTGAACAGCGACCTGTTTTCGCAAGAAGGATGTAATACTATTCTTTCCCGAAGATCTCTCTTCAAATTTTGTGAAAGCAACTCCTAGAAGAGTTAAATGGAATGGTTTAGAAACATTAACAGTACGATGAAACAGTTTCATTGCTAGCGCCAACATTTTAGCATGATCATAAACGCCAGATTTTGATGAAGGTAATAAGTGTTTTGGCAAAGCGCACTGCCGTGTTTCTCTTTTACCCGAAGTTGGTTTATTAAAATCATGTTTTCTGACTGTTAATCTCATAGCAACAGGGATTCTTCCATCTTCCATGGCTAATTCTGTTAGTCTTCTCAGAAGTGCTCCCAATCGTGACTCTACTTCAGCCACTAAAGAAACGCTCTTGAAACCATCTTCTAAACCTATAGACTGCCTCTTTCCAGTAGGTTTTACAACAGTTTCGTCGATGCCTTCCGCATTATCTTTTAATTTTCTTGCTAAGTCAATACCAATTTTCATTTCCAACGTTTCTAAAGACGTTTTACGCAAATCATCCACTGTTTTTATGTTGTTGGACACTAATAGTTGTGTAGTTTTCTGTCCAACACTTGGTATTTTAGATACAGACCCTATACTAGACAACAACATGGATGCACTACATGGAAATATTAGTGTCTGTTGATTTGGTTTATGCAATGATCCTACTAGTTTTGCTAGGAGCTTATTATGTGCTATTCCAGCACTGCATGTGACGTGCAAGTTTTTATAAATTTGTTCTCTTATTTTTGCTGCAATCTTGGAAGCAATAATTAATCGAGCATGGCAGCCACAAGGACATTCTTCTTCCGAGGGACCAAATATTTCACCAACAGGGTTTTCATCTTCCATAGAAATACTTATATTTAATTCAGAATCATTTCCAGAATTTATATATTTTTGAACGATAGATGTTACATCCATAAAATTGTCATCAAAACCCAGCCTTTCAACTAATGGAGTAAACTGATGTAATATCTCCAGTATTTTAGTAGAGTAGTGGCGATAATTTGTCAAATCTTCACCATTTACCAAGACCAGCCCTGGGCACAGCTGTAAAGCTTCTTGTATTGGCATACATTTCTTAATTCCATATTCTCGTGCCAAATAATTGCTTGTTACCACTAAATTTTTTTGTTGTACTCCCAATGGCTTGCTCTCTAATTCTGGATGCCTCAGCATCTCCACTTGAGCATAAAAACAGTCAACATCTATATGAATTATAGTTCTTGGATGTCTTATAATTGCATCAAATTCAACGGAATCCATTGAGGTAATTTACAAATAATGTAATACAATAATATACATAGAATCTTTATCACATAAAAATCTTATTTAATATTTTAACATAGCATAACCTGTAATAATAATAAATATCAAATTAATATTATAAATAACAGAACTAAATGATCTACAAATAAGAATAATGGACAATATAAAATCACATAGCAAATTTAGTTTATTACCTTCTTAGAAAACAAATTTGGTTAAGAATATATTTTTAAATGCATATTTTATTCATGACATTAACAAAGAATAACGTTTTTTTTCTGTTATTAACACACTTTTGCACAAATTTTTATGATAATTGTTTTATGTATAGTTGTTTATTTGGCGATATGTTTAAATGTAGACATATATCTAAAAAATAGGTTAAGTTGTTCAGTCAAATGTAGGTTACTGTATTTAATATACATACTTAGGAGGCTTACAATTATACAATTAATCATTATTTCTAATCTTAAATAAATTAATCTAATACATGTTTATTAAATTGTTTTTCTTTTATTATCGTATAGAACTTCCTTTAGATCAAAAAGTAAGGTTACCATTATTTCGTATTCATTTCAAAGGTATATTGTCTCACAACCACGAAGAATACTAGCATATGAGTAAATTTTTATTTGCCAGAAATCCGTTAGATCATCGAATAGATATTAAATTGTATCTGGAACTATTAAAAACACGGATACTTCACTTCCAAAATCCACTTGAATTTTTTACAAATTTCATTAAAGAAATATATATTTTTTTACAGCTGATGTGTTTCGTTGGTAACACGAAACAAAATTATCGTAAAAACTAAATAGAAACTTGTTTACAAACTGTATTGCGACTAATTTATTTTTCACATGGTAGCCATGTTTTGAATTGTCATAGATATCTTCATATATATATTTATAATTACATTCTAAATATTGGTGCATACAAATGTTTTAAGATAGATGCACGCATCATCATTTTGTGTTACAAACACATTTTTCCACTAGAAGATAGCATGTATATAAATAATGATTCATTTTCATGAACTAACGACCAATAAAATTTAAAATAAAATAGGGGAATTATTCATCATATATAGATAAAATCTAAAATAAAACGTATTTTTCCCCTAGATATAATCCAGTCATAATGTAGATCACCTAGTAAAAATATATCACGAATATAATAAAGATGAATTACTATAAAGATAGATTCTCCAGAAAATTTTGTAGGTTTTATATTGTATCGTCCACTTGTGTTTTCTGTGTACGATTACGTTCCGTTATTATAACGTGCTGTTAAATAGAATTAAGAAGTCTATTGTTATATTTAAAATTACTTTGAATTTTTAAAAGTGTATGTTTCCTTAATAAGTTTTTTTTTAATGATTTTATAACTTCTGCAAAATATTGCACGTTAGTACAAAGGAATGCCATTGGTTTAGTTGAACGTTTGCAATCTAATAGATGAAACATAACCAGTAAATGTATTCAAAGATTTTCCTACTCATGTAGACTTACTAAAGACTTAAGGGACAAAGTTAATTAGGATTTTCAATTTTTGTGACACTGCAGTATTTTACTTATTGCCTTTTTCGATATTAATTTATGATAGAAATTATTTTGATATTCTTAATTTATTAAATTACACAAATTGAAGTTAGGCTACAAATCCAGTGCAAGCAGCCATCTTGGAAAATCCTTTTTCGCATTTCGAACGAACGAAGTGTCAAATATCGATAATTATTTCACCTCAAACGGTTGAATTAAAAATTTGTACAAGAAATAAGCTTTCTTTGAAAAGTTAAATTTTTTAAAGCAATCTGAAAATTGAAATGTAAAAATCATTTTCGCGCCACAAAATAGTATCATTCAATAGTTGTATTTAAAAGCAAGAAAAATATAGAAGCGAGTTGCGATAACAACTCGAATAAGAAAGGGGTAGGAGAATTTTTCTGTTGAAAGTTGGAAATAATATAGGCAAGACGGCTTCGCAAAAAAAATCGTCTAAGAAGATGGCGGAGACCAAAGAATTAGAGGTGAGTGAAGTATTAAAAGTGGTGCAGTGCAGTTAGATTATGAACGAAATTTTAGAGAAAAGTCGGCAGGTCTGCATTGTGAATTTGTCGTGGTTATATCCGGGTTATCAGCGATTTATGATTTACGTCAGTGAATTATATTACTAGACGTTTAATATACTGTTGAGCGCGTTTTTCTTCGTTACTATTATAATTATTTTCTTTCTTCGGTGAAATATTAAAATTAATCAATAGAATTTTTCCTTCATTATATTGTGATTACAATTATATTGCGTTTGCCGAATAATGCTCAAAAAACACGTCAATATCTACGTAATCATAGGTAACCTAAACATTTTCTTTTTTTTAATTAAAACTTTTCTCTTTGTCGTTTTTGGTTAATTTTATGTATTTTGATAGATAATAGTAAAATATTTTATTTATTTGCAAATATTGTTGGATAAATGATTATCTATGATTATAATCATAAATAATTCTGCTATATTATCGCATAAATATCGTTTAATTTACAATATGGGTATTAATAAAAATATTTTATGTGATTGTTTTAGAATAGAGTAACATGTAAAATATTTTCTACGTAATTAAATTTAAATAAATAGATTGAGCATAAATTAAAATGTTGATTCTGTTTTTAATTAATATATTGTTGATTGCTAAATATATTTTTGATTTATTAAATTAACAGGTTTTGCATAAGTGTGATATATAAAATAGATACATGCTATAATTTTATGCTTGCAGAATATGGTATTGAGTTTTCGGGTGTCTGAACTTCAGATGCTTCTTGGTTTTGCTGGTAGAAATAAATCAGGTAGAAAAAACGAATTGCAAGCACGTGCACTAGAATTGTTACGTTTGCGATCCCATCCAGTACAACTCAAAATACGTGAATTATATAAAACAATACAGTGAGTATAAGATTTATTAAAGACAATGCAGCTATCTATGCTAATTATGTGTAATTATTAAAAATCTCTATTACCATTTGTCAAATCTTTGAGTGTTTTATTTTATTATTCATTTCAGTAAAATATTGTGCAGTATTTTTCTCTACTATATCTACTATATCTACTATGGCATATTGTTATACTTTAAGTATTGTAAACATCAGTGGATCACTGACATAAACTCTTAGTTTCACTCTTTGTTTCAAAATTTTGTTTAGAGCTGATCAATTAGCTGCACATCAAATGTATGGTCAAACAGGTAGTTCTGCAGAGCCACAAATAGATCAAAACATGCACTCCAGAAATTATTACACGAGGTAAGCATATAAAACAAAATAACACCTTCTATAATGTATAAGAAATAAAATTGTGGGGAACACATAAAATTAAGCATATAAATTAAATTTAATAATGTTATTCCTTACTTCTAACTAATATGAAGACAAGCTATCAGTCAGCAACAACAGTCACAGTCTTCAGTTTCTAGTGGAAAAGATTTACCACCTGCCCATCAAGCATCTCTACCTCAAGCACCTAGAGCTAATCCTGTATATCAGTCAACAGCATATACTAGTGTAACACCACAAGTAAGTAGACGAGGTTTTGCTCAAAGTATTTTTGTATTATTTCTGGATGGATTTCTTTTTTCTTTTGATTTACATAACATTGATATTTTAGCAAACAACAAGTGCAGCTTATAGTCCATATCCATATGTACCAAAAGTTTTATCAACACCATTACAAATACAACCTAGGAGTCAGTATCCTATTCATCCAGATGTCAGGCTTAAAAAGCTACCATTTTTTGATCTACTTGCAGAGTTGTTAAAGCCATCTAGTCTAATGCCTCAGGGTTCAATGAGGCTGCAAGAAAATACATTTATGTTTCATTTAACACCACAACAATCAACAGATGTTGCAAGTTCGCGAGATTGTCGTGCAGGAAGTAAAATGGATTATACAGTACAGGTATCAGTAAGGAATTACACAATACATTTGAAAAGTTTGTTTACCAAAATAATATTAAATTTATATTTTTAATTGTTGAATATTTTATAATTTATGTCCTGTATGTTTCAGATACAAATGCGGTTTTGTTTACAAGAGACTTCATGTGAACAAGAAGATTGTTTTCCACCAAGTATTGCTGTAAAAGTTAATGGAAAATTATGTCCATTACCTGTAAGTATATAAAAAAATATGAAGCATATTTACAAACAAAATTTTGTTTACGTTAATTAACATTATAATTAAACATTTTACTCTTATAAATAAAGTATTTTATTTTTTGTTTTAGAATCCAATACCTACTAATAAACCGGGAGTAGAACCAAAGAGGCCGCCACGGCCTGTCAATATTAGTCCTTTAGTTAAATTATCTCCTACTGTAGCAAATCAAATTCATGTAACATGGTCATCTGACTATGGTAGACGATATGCAATTGCGATATATCTAGTTCGGAAGCTTTCAAGTGCTGAATTATTATCAAGGTTAAAAAGTAGAGGTGTCCGACATTCGGATTACACTAGAGGTTTAAGTAAGTACTTTTATAGTTTGAATATTACACCTCGTTGAAAATCAATTCTACTGAAATCATGGCTTCCCTAGTCAAAGAAAAGCTTAATGAGGATGCAGATAGTGAAATAGCAACAACATCACTCAGAGTATCCTTAGCTTGTCCACTGGGCAAGATGCGCATGTGCACACCATGTCGTGCGTCAACATGTTCACATTTACAATGTTTTGATGCGTCGTTGTTTCTTCAAATGAATGAAAGAAAACCTACATGGAATTGTCCAGTTTGTGATAAGGCAGCGTTATATGATAATCTAGTTATCGATGGATATTTCCAAGAAGTATTGAATTCAAAGAAATTATTACCAGATGTAAATGAAATTCAATTATTACAAGATGGTTCATGGGAAAATTTGGTTTTGAAAAAAGAGAAGGATAAGGAGAAGAGTGAAACAAAAGTTATTACAAATTCACAAGATCGGAAAATCGATGTGGATACCGTCGATCTCGGTGAGATTTCATTTAATACTAATATGTGTGGAACCATCTAATATTTGAAAACAAAAATTCTTGTTGCCAATTTTTTATGTAAATGGATAACCTTATAATTTTTTAGACGAAGGCAATCCTGCTCCTCCAAAGGAAAAGAAACGAGCTGTTGTTATTGATTTAATATCAGACAGTGATGACGATGACGAACATACCACACCGACACAAAGTACAAAAAAGATAACTTGTGGTACTTCTTCACCAAAAAAATCACAAACCAGTTCTATTAGCAGTACAAGTGAATCGCCAGAGTTGATGATAATTGACTTAGAATAGAACTTTTATATTTATTGCTTTATCAGATTGCCAAATTTTTAAACGAATGTTCGATTTTCCATAGAACAAGAACTAAAGATTTATTTGTTCTGTGATTATCGGAGTTAAAAGTTACTATATAAGAATAAGTCTAAGAGAACTCATGACGTTTTTACTTTTGGTACTTAACATCAGGAAGAAAGTAAAGAAGATAATATTTTTTTTGACTGCAATAATCTAGCATTCCGCTATATCAATACGTGTACAAATCATATTATTTTAATTGATGAAAAGAAATGAAAAGTAAATTACTATCGATAAGATCAAATTAAGTTTAGCTAACAAGTTAGTATACTTTTTCATTATCATAAAAAAATCATAATGTACTTTCATCAAAACAATAAAGTCATTTCTTTGTTTTGTAGTATAAGCTTCTTATTAACCTTGACATTTATAGAAGTAAACTATAAGATGTAAATATCTATAATGTAAATATATTTATTACATTAGTAGTGTTATTAATGTAATTGAACTTAAGTATTTTTTCAAGAATTGTTTCTTTATTAAGTTTTTAGTTAATCAGGGTTAATAAAACTGCTTACACTATATTCGCCATAGATGTTGGGTTTATAAAAATTAATTTGAAGTCATACGAAATAAAATAGATAAAATTGATATAAATGGAATATCAGTAGTTTAATACTTTTGTATCGTAATTTTTATATGTGAGTCATGTGCTTTATATTCAGAGTTCATTCTTCTTGTAACACTTCGTCTGTAATTGGAGAAGTATAATTGTGAAATGATATCCTAGAAAGTTGTTGATCCACAGGTTCTCTTGTATCATACAAGCTTGGTGCTTGAAATATTATACCAAGTGTTCCTCCAGTACATGCCAATGTAAAAATCCAAAGAAAAAGTCTATCTAAAACCATAGCTACGAATTTCCAATCTTCTATAACCTGAGAATATTAAAAAATATGCTAAAATTATGTGTACATATTTTTGAAAGACTAGACTGAAGGAATTAATGTTGGAAAAGGTATCAAAAGTAAAACGTAAAAGTATTTAAAAACTATGTTGCTTAACTTACTTCATTATCTTTATCTGCATTTTTTATATGTTGAGCAATAAAACGTACACCCTTTAGAGCTGATATGACATCCGGCGATAAGTGTCTCGGCATTGTATTTTCGCTGTCAGTAACTGTAATGATATTTCATTGTTAGCATATATTTGAGAAAGTATTACATGACATTATTTTATAATGCCTGTCACATCATATGCATTCTGGAAGTATAAGATTATTAATTCTAATACATATTTATTTGTTTCCATTGCTGTTGTGTAATTTTCTGTACGTCGTGTATTTCGCAAATGAAGAAATATGGTATACTCGTAATTTCATTTATAAGGCATTATATAAATATCAATGCATTGTCGCAATAAATTTGATAAATAAAATTTTGTACGAACTATATTATATGTTGTACAGTAATGTGAAATATTTACCCGATGCGTGTGGTATATGTCGGGCATCGTCTTCTCGTATATTTTTATACTGAGAGGTGACACTTTCAAATCCGTCTGGACTTCCTTTCAATTCCAGGGGATAATCGCTAACGCTATACAAAAAATTGTAATATTCACTTTTGAATATTTGAAAATTTGATAAACAGTAAAATAATTACCTAAAATCTATTTCATTAGTATATCCGCTATCCATATATGTATCGTCGTATTCTGGAGTTGAATACGGTGTTCGACGCATCATTAGAATCCGCGGCATCCAGTTTAAAAATACTTGTCTAACCCATGGTGACATATTATGAGTAGATGGAGACCTATATAAAAGAGATATAATTTGAAGTACTTTATAAGCACTATTACGATAGTATGGAATATAAATTACCGAAAATGAACATTTAAAACGCATACAGTAGTCCATATCGACAAAGTGACTAAGATCATAGTAAATAGTAAGTATTTTCCTAAAAGTGGAATAGCCAGTGATGTTGGTGGTATGATTTCAGCTAATAATAAAAAGAACACTGTCAAAGAGAGAAGAATGGAAGAACATAATGATACCTGTAAAAACGACAATTTTTACAAAAAATTTACCCAATAAATACTTGTTTTGTTGTTTAATATTTTTCATAAAGCTTACTTTTTCACCCGAATCACTTGGTAGGTAAAATACAAGTACCGTAAGGAACGTTATACCCACGCAAGGAATTATTAAGTTGACTGTATAGAATAAGGTCTTTCTTCGCATTGTAATGTTAAATGTGATATCTGTGTGAATTATATTAAAATGCTTTTAACTTATGCGTTTATATTTTATACCATTGCTAATATGCAGTTGATAATGTATAATCAATTGCTTACCAGAATAGGGTTCTGTGCAACATGGGTAATACTCTTCATTTCTTGATGCTGGTACTTCTAAAATGTCCCATTCTACCGATAAGTAGAAATCGCTTAAATCTATTCCTATTGCAACCAAATTGCTACCAGGTTCTTGTTTCATATGTTTTAGATCCACCTATCAGTAAAAGTCTTTACAAAGCATATTTTCGGTAAACAATATTATCGTGATTTATTTGTACTTTCAAACTAATTTGCGTCTACTTAATGTTCATTACGAAGTTGTTTATTAATTAACAATATTTTTGAGTTATAACCTGAGCGCCGTTATATGTCCATGAGCCAAATTTCATAACACACGACTGTTCGTCAAATGGAAAGTATTCCACGTTTATCTCACAGGATGATTTATAAATCGCGGGCGGTTTCCAAGATACCTCACCGGTATACTTTAACGTCGCTTTTGTCATAAGTGTTACTTCGTAGTTGCCATCGGCACTGTAAACATTATTTAATTGACATGTCTGAAATGTTATTTATGTCTACTTTTTAAATAAAATTTGTGGATAAATTATAATATAAATTAAAATTTACTTATTATACAGGACAATATCTGGTAACCAAATATTTTCGGAAGGCACGTATAGCATTTCTACGCCACCGTATTCTTCTGGATCCCATCGTAGTTTATAATCGAACCATTTCTGTAAATGCGCAAATTAATATTGAATAAAATACGCTTATTTTGTTTAATGATAACTATGATTGTAGAAGTAACTTTATGCCCGTTTTTACCTGTTCTACCCAAACGTTGGTCGTCATCACTTGATTCTTTAAATTCTGTAAATTTGAGAAAAGATCTATTAATATCGATAATTTGCTTATTAGAAAAGAGATCAATTTTATAATTTCATACCATTTCGATTAATTGCGATAGCTTTAAGCCTAGCCAAACTGTTAAAGTTTCGGTATTGTTGATGACAGGGCGTATGAGTCTGTTATAATTTGACAATAAGTCATCGTACAGTCTTCTTGTGTCGGGATTTGCTTCGTAAATTTTTATCTCTATAGCGCCTAAACAAAATATAAATTTTCATTTGTCACAATTTATATTTTTCATACAAGAAGATAATGCAGTTTACTATACTCGAATTAGGCGACAAAACAAAACACGAATTACGATAAAGCGATTAAAGAACTCAAATCACTTTTAAACACTGACGATACGAAAAAATAAAAAACTTACCATATGTAATATGAAGAATGTTAAGGAGAACACCGAACGTTGATATACGCATTTTAAGGGTAATTATTTACAAATTTGTATAAGATCGAGATGGCAGTGACCACTCCCAGTAAAAATATGTTCACTTGTCAACACCATATACGACACCTTTTAACTTAATGTTAATAAATATAAAGAGATTCGATATCACGTTAAATATTTTTCTCATTGGTGACAAGTGGGAAATGTAATCAGTAGAATACGAGCGTTCTGCATCCCACTGGAACAAAATCGATATCCGAAGTTAGCGCCATGACACTTGTTCCGACTTACACTCCAATGTATTTCGTCTGTTACCGATTCACGCCCATGCGCATGAGTGTTAACGACGCGCGCACTGCTTTTTCAAATCATGCATATAATAGTATTATCAGTATCGAATCAGTTGTAAATGTTTTTCTTAAAAAAGAAATTTACCTCTCTTGACTTTCGCAGTTTAACCCATGGGAATTCGTTCCGGCGTGTTCTAAAAGGTAATTGAAAAGACGTATTACATTATTTTTACTTTTATATCATAGTTAAACAGCAAATAATACTTGTTTGAATGCTTGAACGCAAATAATTTTTTACAGACTATTAAAATAAATGTTACCGACATTTTACAAAACTCGTTCGTCAGGTAGCGCTCTCTGTACTAGTTTTCGTGAACGTCGCGCTTTGGATGCGCCCCTGCAGACCTCTGGAAAGATTATATTCAGTAATTCTTTATGATGAAGTTACGTATTTTATACATATTTTTGATTACTATAGTTATGATAATGATATTCTAATGAACGTTTAAAAATGTTCTCCGTAGAATTTTACGTTTTAACTCTTTTAACTGCGAGTTTTTAAAAAGTATGTTCTTCCTTACACATTTTATCGGTATACGTACCTTTTTGTCAGATAAAAAATTTAATAAAAATACAAAGAACTTTTTTGTAGCTTGTTTTAGCAAACTTAACTGACCTGTTTACGCTTACTTTAATCGTGGGGATTTCATCCTTTTAAAATAACATTTAACACTGTTTTTAAAAAATATTTTTGCAAAATTAACGTTTTAATCGGACACAAGTAAAAAGAAAGCAAATCATTGACACGAAATCAAGAAAAATACACGATACGTAAAGCAGTAAATAGATTCGCCCCTGTAACAGTAGATTCAACGTTTCTAGAATCTTATTAATCTTGATTCGTACAATACAGCGTTTCTTAACCTGAAAATCTTACCGCGCAGCATCGATCACAGTAAAAGGGTGCATTTATGTTTCAGATAATGGTCGCGTGTTTAGAAAACATCGTAATTATGTCAAAGCAGTAACTGCGGAAGTGTAAAGTACCCCGGGGCACGTTGCAGGAAAAATTACTCTGGAAATCGAGATGTATGCTCTCCTCAAACGTGGCATCCGTGGTGTAACAGCCATGTTGGAAAGAATCGATTCGCGACCGCACAACTTCCTACGTGCGATTATCGATCAAGGATACGTAAACAGCCGTAGTATGGTCGCGCACACGCGGCGACGAGGCCACTTAGCGTATGTTTGTTTAGTACCTTTTACGACTATATCGTTCGGGCATGTGTTAGGTTACGAAGGAGCCAGTGTCTGGCGCATAGCTGAGGGTTGGGTGGCACGGCGCCGTGCTTCGAGAGGGTCATTTATAACTGTTATCGTGAGACTTACTAGCCCACTTACTACTCCTCCACTGTGTCTATTCTCCACCCTTCTATTCTACTGGAAGAAACGTAAGCGCGAGATGCGCCAGTCCACCGAACCTGCTGGTCATTCTATCACGGCTTTTTATTCGGTCATCCTGTATCGCGCCAGAAGACAGTCTTTGAGTAACGACATCCCTGAAATCGATAGATTTCCAGGAGATTCCGAGTTTTATGTAACGTGCAGCGATCCCGCGATATTTGGCACCGTTCGATGAGGGAAATTTGAAATAGTCAATTTCCTATAAGTGTTCTGTCGTCTTCCGGACAAATGGAACATTTCTAGGAACAAGTCGTCATATATACATATAGCAGCCTTTTGAAACGCAAGTAGGACAATTTGCAGGGACAATATTAGAGTTGTTAACTGCATCGTTTTCCTTAAGTACGAAATCATTAGCGATGTCTTCGCGGTTGGGAAACTATGGGAAAGTGGAGGAGGTTATTTTACATGGAATGTATAATTGTTGCTGGGCCAATTACAATTTTGTTTTCATTAGCTTTGGGACTTGTAACTGTAATAGCTGTGCACACAGTCCTAATCCTTTGTTCTCACAAAGCGACTTTGAGTGGCGAACCGACTGAACTGAACGCAAACTTTGGACATACAGTGTTTACGGTTGGTAATATGCTAGCATTACATAAATCTGCGTGATAACTATGTTTAAACTTTCACCTTTAATACTGCAGTCGGCTATAATTTTATATGCACGTACGCTGGGTTACTCTTGGTCGATTAAATGTTGACATTTCGAGCGATATACGAGCTACTTAGGAGTTTAGATTATGACGGTAAAACTGGTAGTCAGCTATCGGAAATCCTTCGTGTTTGTCCAACAAACGTAAAATCACTGATACCACGCTCATGGTTGTTCCACGGATTATAGCGTTTACAGGGTTGAAACAGCGTTTTATTTATTACTGCGCGTTTCGCGTGAAACGAGAAAGCGTCGCGACGTTGGTGTTACAACCGATAGCTCGTTGTTATCGTGGACATTTCTCATCGCGTTTTTGTCCGTCCCGCAGGGATGGAGCACTTAATCCTAATATGGAAATATGTCGTGCACTCCGCAAGCCGGCGATTAATGCGAATAAATCGATTTTTGGCGTAGGGGTACGACGGTTGCCGCCAAATCCTGGAAGCCACGCCAAGTGGCGGAAACACGGGAATTCCATCTGGATTTACTAAGATCAGTGCCATTTAATGTGGAGCTCGATAAATCCCTTAAAAGCCGGTGGTCCGCAAGAAGACGGCGCATTACAATTTTCCAGAAAGGAGAATGGCGAATGTCTAGAGAAGACGCAGACAAATCTGCAAATGCAAGGCTTCAGGTGCCAAATGCTTTCATCGTATAACGTGAGTAACTGCCTTCCCTGTTTGCTGTCCCACATCGATCGCAATCTATGCGATTCGCAGAGCCATTCGAAAGCAAAAAGTCTTATGAACGTGTTCCATTTAAACTGATCGAAATATCGACTGACAGATTTTAATATCTACGTTAACATATTTTGCAGGTACATCGTGGATATCGTTAAAATTGAATACGACTCAGGGGGAAAAGGAGGAAGATATTGAAAGTTCGATGAAAATGTGCTGAAAACGAAACTGTATCATTTAAGGAAAAAAGGGTATCCGTCCGAATTCGTGTCTTTATCGACTGATCTTGATGTTTCATCTCTTTCGAGTACCTTCATCTCCGACATGTTCGATTCGTTTAGCTTCACGTAGCGTCCTAAACACGTTCATTTACGTAATTCATCGCTTCGAACAATTTCCATTGTCTCCTTGATCAAACTGCATTATCAGAACATTCAATTTGCTACGAGTTGCTCTGCGCTTGACCACTAGAGGATTCATCCTACGTTTCGCGCTTGAATATGAAACGGGATCATCTCGGCAACTTGTAATCTACTTTTCACATTTGTTTTCTTGAAAGTTGCGTAATCTCAGCCGAGAACGGGGATAGCCCGTTATCTGTGGTCAGGATCGTTCCCGTGCAACGTTGGCTAAACGTCGTTGCTTGCTTATGATTTCCATAATTCCGCGCACTTCGTCCGTGGCAGGCTCTAAAGAGCCAATATCGAGCAAAGTAGGTGTGTACTTTAATTACTAGAGATAATTACGTCGTCACCGGCTTCAGTGAGGGATGGAGGTTTACTATGATAACAGAGTATCCAATATCCTGGTGAGTTACGTACCAAGCACGACACAGCCTCGTGCATATGTATTCCGCACGTACGCACCCTGGATGTATTTACTATCGTATGCACGCCAGCACATGCCAGCCGCTCGCGTTTGACCTCCATCCGTTATTAATATAATTATCCTCCCGATTATTGTCTTACGGTTGCTGCATTTAACTGCGGACGTACGATATCCGCACCTGTTTCCCTGCCGTCTCAGCTGGAAATTAGTGTCTTGGTCCCTCCTTTCGGAGTAATCCGTCCTCGCGGAGGTTCCCGATGATTAATCGAATTTTCCCTCCTCGAATCCGCCATTTTGCTTCTTTATCACTCGAAACAGACCCTCTTATCGATCTTTCGTTGCAGATCGAATGGAAAAGACAGAGCTGTTCTCTCTATATATGGAATAGATAGGTTCATCGATCGAGTCTTTCGACTCGCAAACGACGCAAACTAGCCTGGACACCGCGTTATTGCCATGATCATGAACGTGAGTTGACAAGGGACGATCGGTTAGGCGATTGGCGAGGAGTAAGAATGCGTGGGGAATTTTCGGGTTGATACTCGCAGCAGGTCACGCGAGTATTCCCACATGCAACGATAGGACGAAAGCCACGGGGGTAGCACGTCGGAATAATTTATTTAGCTCGAGCAATGTAATAATGGCGGGGTTGCACCGAGTGCAAACTGCAGAACGCGTTCATTACTACTTTAGTCGAAAGTGTATGGTGTGGACAAACCGTGAGGTAGAGCATGGTGGATGGAGGGTGGGTCACGCGGCGTGGGTGGAGACACACGTATATACAGGGTGGTTAACATCGTACCGGATCGGCGAGTCGCAATGTGCGGTTCACCAGACGGCGATATTACCAACGTTAGGTACACTGGTCGTCCAGCGACCTCGAAGGGGGTGGACCATAATTTTCGATTCCTGTTAACCGTGGCCAACTATTTTTATCGCAACCGTGAAAGGGAGAGGGTTGTACGACTACGTTTGCACACTCGAGAGGCATTTTTTTTTCACTGTTCCTTTTTCTTTGCTTCTTTTTTTTCTTTTCTTTTTTCGTTTTTCCAGGAAACCACGACGAATAGGTCGCGGCTGGGGCGCAGTCGCAATTGTTAGTTACCACGAGTGGAGACCAGACTCGGAAGAAATTCCGATCCCGGGGGAACGGGTTTGAAAATTGGAAACGATCGACGCAAGCTGTGTAAC